GCAGCATGCCCCTCAACACACACAGGGAGTCAGTAGCAGCAATAGAACCCGGCTCCCAGTCCTCCCTGCTCCCCTCCCAGGGCTGGGGATAGAACCCAGGAGTCCTGGCTCCCAGCCCCCCTGCTCTAACCACTAGACTCCACTGTCCTTACAGGGCTGGGGATAAAACTCAGGCGGCCCGACTCCCAGCCTCCCTGCTCTAACCACTAGACCCCACTCCCCTCCCAGAGCTGGGGATAGAACCCAGGCGTCCCAGCCCCCCGGCCCCCCACTCTAACCAAGCACAGCCAGGCCCAGAGAGTCCTGCCCCTGGTGTTCTTATCCCCCTGCACCTTTGCCGGGGTCGGGCGCCTGGGGCTGGAACGCTGCCCCCTGGGGGCCAGGCGGGGTGCTCACCTGTACCACAGGCCCTCCGTGTCACCGGGCATGCTGAATCGGGCACGGTAGTTGGAGAAGTTGCTGGGGGGGGAAAGAACAATTAGGGCTGCAGCGGATGTGTGTGAGGCAGGGTGTGGGGGGGTGGATTTAATCCTCCCCCCTCCCAATTCCCAGACTGGCATCTCAAGCATCCGTAATGCACCCCTCACCCTGGCCTCTAGGCTGCCGCTCCTAGTCCCTCTCCCGGGAGCAGATGGAGACACCTCCGGCTCCGCCACCTCTTCCCCCGCCCCAACCGCAGGCTGAGAGGCTCCCAGGACAACAAATCCCCCTCCCCCATAATCCCATCAGGCCAGTATAGACCCATAAATCCCGTCTGAGCCAGGTGCTCTGGCAGTTCCCTGCAGGGGCACGTCCTGCGTGTGTCCGACAGGGGGCGCTGTTCAAGCATGGAGCAAATAAACCCCACCAGAGGTCTGTGGCCAAGGCTGGGAGGGAATCCACGGGCAGCGTCTGGGGTGGGGAAAGGGGAGAAAGCTGGGGGGTGGCTGAGGTGAGGGAGGGGCAGAGCCAGCCGTCGCGCCCATAGGCACCCCGTGCGAGATCCGCCCACTCACTATTTCTCCTCGTGGTTCCCCGGGCACGTCATATACGGCACCGACGCAGCGACGGGCTCGATCTTGCGCATGAAGGCGTCTCCGACCCTGGCGTTACACTACACCCCAGAGAGAGTCGCATCAGCTGAGGCACCTGGGAATGCTGTGCCCTCGGAGCGCATTTACACACCTGGGGGCTGTATGGCCACGTGCATGGAAATGGGTGGGCAGATCCGTGTGCAAATGCAACACGCGTGTGGGTTTGCATACATGGCCACCAGGGCAAGGATGGGGAGTGGGGTGGACGGGCCCAACCCGCCTGCCATTGTTGCTTCAATTCCCATTGTAGGCGACACAGCTCCCTGGCACATCCCAAAGCAGCTCCAATCTCCCCTGGGCCTGGGCTCATAATACCGGCCTCCTGGGCCAGTCGCTGTGTACGGGAATCAAACCCACGTGCCAGCCTCTGCCAGCTGGGTTAGCTCCAGGGCTGGAGCAGCTTTGTAAACCTCGCTGAGTCCATGAGACATGCAGGGGAGAGATACCCGACCAGGCCGGGTGGGGACGCACACAGGTGGACGTGCATTCATGGGGGCCCAGAAACCCTGGGAGCTGAGCACACAGCCCCTTCTCCTGGGGGATCCCTCCCGACGTCGGCCCTGGATCTCCACCGCAGAGACGCCAGCGAGTGGGGCCAGCCCCCCGAACATGGAGGGGAGCGGGATGGGGCGCAGCCGGAGGAGAAGGGAAGGCACAGGCGGCAGCGTGGCTACAGAATTTACCTGGTCCATGTCATAGGCAAAATCCCCTGGGGAAGACAAGAGGATCACAGTGAATCGGCTGCTCTGCCCTGGGGGCAGGGGGGGGGCCTGGGGGAGATTTTACCCAGATTGGGGGTCCCCCCCCCCGATTATTAAGCCAACAGTGCTGGTTTGATGCCCCCTGAATCCTGCCCTAATCTCTGGAGGGGAGAGGGGTGCTCCTTAAACTGAGAGGTGAGTCCAGTCCTGGGCTGAGATCCCCAAAGAGGGGGGCAGTTAGCGCCCCTGGCGGTGCTTTGGGGGACGTGGGCCCTGGACACAGACCCAACGAGTTCATTCCAGGGGGCACCAACGGGTCATGAGATGGGGATGACTGTCGGTCATTCCTGACATGGATGGGATGGGAGCTGGCGCCCCCGAGAGGGAAAAGGCCCCGTGTCCCATTCCCTGCCCCCTGAGCCAGCCAGTCCCTGCCCTGGGACCAGATCACCAGCGCCCCCTAAAGGGGAAAGGCCACATGTCCCATTCCCTGACCCTTGAGCCAGCCAGTCTCCTGCCCTGGGGCCGGATCACCAGCGCCCCCTAGAGGGAAAAGGCCCCGTGTCCCATCCCCGCCCCCTGAGCCCGTCCCTTCTCCAGCCCCGATCCCAGGAACCTGGGGGGAGCGCGGCGTGACACCGACCTACGTGCAGGATCGCGTCGTACATGCCCTGCTGCGTGTCGCGCTGGAGCCTGGGCAGGGACTGGGGGTTGATGTTCCCCATGTCACCGAAGACAGCGAGACGCGGGCTCCAGTTGGTGCCATTCTGCAGAGCCCGGAAGCCGTAGAGCCGGCTCCAGCCCAGCGGGCTCCCGCAGCGATAAGCTACAGGGGAAGAGCAGGGAGAGACTCAGACGCCTGTAGGGTGACCAGACAGCAAGTGTGAAAAATCGGGACAGGGTGTGGGGGGTAATAGGAGCCTATATAAGAAAAAGACCCCAAAATCAGGACTATCCCTTTAAAATCAGGACATCTGGTCACCCTAGACCCCTGCCGTGTGTGTGTGGGGGGGGGCTGAGTGCTCGGGGTTGGGGTGTATTTGGGCCCAACGCAGATTTGGCCCTGGTGATGGTGGATATTGCTGGGTGACACTGGGCTTGTGTGTGTGCCCCACCTCTCAGTGCGTGCGCACGTGGCTGGGCGTGTGCGTGTGTCGGGGCACGTGTGAGTGTGACGAGGCGTCAGGGAGCATGGCAGGGTGTCTGGGCGCCCCCCCATCAGTGCGTGTCCCCAGGTCTCCCCTTCCCGTGTGCAGCCCGTTCTCCAGCCCTGCCCCCGTGTCTCTGTCCCTCATCTGGTGGCTCGGTGCGGATGAAGTCTGCAGTGCGCCGGGCCCCCCGCCCACTGCCAGGAGAGGAGCTGCGGCCGGGCCCCCACTCACCGTAGCGCTGCCCAGGGGCCAGGCCCCGCAGGGTGACCCGGTGGATGAACATGCTGCGGCGCAACCACCCGCCGTCCACGAACCGGCTGGCGTGGCCCTTGGCGGAGGTGGTGAAGACCTCGCCTGGCTCTAGGCCGAACTCCACGATGGAGCCGGCCGGGTCGAAGGTCGTCCAGGTGACGGTCATGGCGGTGGGGTCGCCTGCCAGGGTTAGAACAGCCCGGTGAGCGCTCAGAGCCCAAGTCCTCCCCGGGACGCCGGCCTGCTCCCCACACCGGCTCGGTCTAGGTGCTACGAGGGCCAATTCCACACAGAGCCGGTTCCATCCACTCCTACCCCGGTCCAGCACCATCCTCTGGCTCCGACCCTCCGGTTGGGCCTATGGCCAGGCCCGGAACCAGACCCTGGTTTCCAAGGAGCTGGATCTGCCTGGGAAACTGATTCAACCTTCGCCCATCTCACCAACACCGTGGAACTGAGACAGGGAAGTGTTTGCAGTTTGCAGGAACTGAGGCACAGGGAGGGGAAGGGACTCACTTGAAGCGAGACAAAGTGGTCACTGCCTGAGCTGGGACAGAACCCAGGAGTCCTGTCTCCCAGCCCCCCTGCTCTAACCACTAGACCCCACTCCCCTCCCAGAGCTGGATAGAACCCAGGAGTCCTGGATCCCAGCCCCCCCTGCTCTAACCACTAGACCCCATTCCCCTCCCAGAGCTGGGATAGATCCCAGGAGTCCTGGATCCCAGCCCCATTGCTCTAACCACTAGACCCCACTCCCCTCCCAGAGCTGGGATAGATCCCAGGAGTCCTGGCTCCCAGCCCCCCTGCTCTAACCACTAGCCCCCACTCCCCTCCCAGAGCTCGGATAGAACCCAGGAATCTTGGCTCCCAGCCCCCACTCTAACCACTAGACCCCACTCCCCTCCCAAAGCTGGGGACCCCAGGCCCAGTGATATAAACATTAATAATCCCGTGGAGCTGGGCTCCCAGCCTCCCCCCAGGTCCCCCAGCCTGGAGACGGGGCCCCGACAGCCTCACCTGGGTAGGAGAGATGCACTTGCTCGGGCTGGGTGCGGCTGGTGCCCTGGCACAGCACCCAGGGGAGCACCAGGCAGAGCAGGCAGAGCCAGCCGCGCGGCCCCATCCTCGTCCTGCTCTTCCCGGCCGTGTGGGAGAGGGACGGGGAAACGAAAGCCGTGGGGCGCTGGCCTGTGAGCGGGTCAGCTCCTCCTGTTGTCCTGAGTCAGCGCCACACAGCTCTGATTTCCACAGCCTGATACGTCAGCAGGGAGGCCAGGCAGCTCCTGCGGGGCAGAGTTCAAATTCACAGAGTTATGGGGGGGCTGGATCTTGGGGGGCCCAGATGGAGGCCTGGGAGCAGGGGTAAGGGGGAGCTGGCTCTGGGGGTCTCCTAGTGGGGAGGCTAGGAGGAGGTCCTGGGGGACCCAGCTCTGGGGCTCCCTGATGGGGTGTAGGAGCGGAGTTATTGGGGAGCTGGCTGCAGGGGACAAACACGTCCCTTATGGTGGATCCCTGTATAGACAGCCAACACACGCCACCCCAGAGGCAGCTGCATCTCAGCATCGGGCAAGGGATGCCTGGAAAAACAGCCCCCACGCCCTCACAAAGGGGGGCTGAGGGGATACAGTCTGTTGGGGAGGGATCAGGGTGCCCTGGCAGAAGGGGGATGGGGGTCCCTGTGCCATGGGACAGCAACCAAAATTCTCCCTCCCACCTCAAGCCCCAGGCCAACACCGGCTGCCCCTCCCCTGCCAGTTGCTCCTGGCTCTGCCCCAGGGCACTAGGCAGGTGCCCCTCCGCACCACGCTGCCCACCAGGACGGGCAGACCAGAGTCCCGCTCCTGGGCGAACCCGAGAGCAGAGGCAGACAAACAGGCACG